TGTAATTCTATCACTAGAATTTTGTAAGACTTCTAAAGCATCAATCAATGCCTTATATTTACAAAATATGACATTTAAAACTTTACCATGTGAGGTCCATCGAGTATCTGAAAAACTTTTCAATCGCAAAACTCTCTCATMTTTATAAATTTTTTTTTGGCATTCAATAAAAACAGCTGTTCTTTTGCGAGCTTTTAGAAAAAATACTAATGATTGAACATCTCYAAAAAAATTTTTAGTATCAGTACATGAATCACATGTATCTACCACTACTAAGTTTAATATGTGGGCAAAACACCAAACGTAAATTGCTCTAGGATTTTTATGTTGAATAAAACTTCGTAGACCTGAATAAATTCCTTGCATAGATGCTGCACCATCGAATGATTGTGCACACAAATGTTTTTCCCAGTTGATGTCATATTTACTTGTTATTGTACAAAAGGTATTGAATAATCCTTGTCCTGTAGCATCACTTGCAGTTTCTAAAGCCAACAATCGCTCTTCTATTACACCAGTACTGTTAACATATCTCACTATAAATGTAAACTGTTCTTGGTTTGATATATCCGTAGTGGTATCAACTATAACAGCAAAATGGCAAGCATTTTTCACATCTTTCAATATTTGTGCTCGAACCATTTCACCTAATATACTCAACAGTTTTTCTTGACTTTTAGAAGACATAAATGTTAATCTGTTATTATTACTTTTGTTTATTTTTTCAAGATGCATCATAACAGGGGCACTGTGACGTCCTATGACTTTTAATAGCTCTAAAWAATTTCCACGGTTTAATGATTGAACATTTTCATTGTGTCCTCGTAGCGATATATTTTGTCGAGCAGCAAAAATCAATACTTCAATAACAGTTCGAACCACTTCTCTATTATTAGCTACTTCACGATTAGCACAATTAATTGGTCATTTAAATCAATTCGATTACTTTGTAAATAAAGACCCCGACTGATTTCTGACTGTATATGATTATGTGAGTGTTCGTGATTATTAATAAGTCTTTGTATATTAGACCAATCATTTGAACCATTCAAAGCTAAATTTGATTTTTCGGCTTTTGGTAAACCAAAAAGTTTACAGGAAATACAAAAAATAAGATCCTTACTTGGTGAATAAGATAGCCAAAGTCTTCTAGATTTATTATTGTTTGCCAATTTTTTTTAATAATAAGACTCGTGGAAAGATCTGTTCATATGATTCCAGTCTTTTTTTTTTTTTAATGAATGTTGGGGTAAATCATTTGGTGTTGGTTGGCAAGGGCCAAGGTTGGCGAAGTAACTCAATAGTTCAGCAGATATAGAACTAGGGATATAAGCAGGATCATTGTCAAATTTAGTTGTTTCTATGATGGATATCTCTGTAATAAGTAATCAATACAATTTTTATTAAAACAAATATATACTAATTGAATTCTTATTTTTAACAACTCTCCAGCTATTACTTTTTAATTAACAATCATAAAAAAAAATAATAATAGCTTTTTTAAGTTATGCCATTTTAACTATATGTTGCCATTCGAAAATCAAAAGTATAAATAGTGGTTTAACCTATAATTATATGGGTAAAAAAAATATTATACACTTTTAGAAAAACATAGGTAAATCTAAAATTTTGAAGAAAAAAAAATTTGGAAATAGTCAATAATTTGCAAGAAAATTAATGTACTCACTTATAGGGTGATTCATTTACTCCCTGTATAATAATTACAATTTAAAAATGAACTTGGAAAATATTTAAATTTGTCATACAAATTTTTTTATGTAGTAACAACCAAATCAGTATTTGCTTCAAGCAGGGTTATTTAAGTAACATTTTTGATAAAAATATTTTATACACAAATAATGAAAATCTCAATGTGTAATAAATCTTGTTAATTTAGATTTGCAATATATCAGGGATGGGCAACTGGCGGCC